TCCTTGTGATGGGAGCGCCCCCAGGAACCGTGCCAGGGGCAGTGGAGCTACCTGCAGCCCTACCAGGGGCGGTGCTCTCCCCAGGGACCGTACCAAGTGTCCCCAGAGGTCATATGGCATGCTTGTCCGTCGAGTCATAAATATTCCATACGTCCAGCACTCCCTTACTTAACTGTGATTGGTGGACTGTTCTTTTAACCCGCCAAATTACAGCCAATAGAAGCAGAGAACAGTCAGTCAGCACAACACCCCATCTTATGTTTTCCTGTTGGATATTATTCTCCATTACCTTCTTCAGAACGCAATGATACTGGAAATGTGATGGGCGGCTGTGTATTTATAAAACGTTGCTTCTCCCAGAGCTCTAAATAGCGCCAAAACTACAGCAACCATGTGCCCTCCCAGAGACCGAAGCACTCCCAGGGGCCGTCCCAGGGACGGTGGCACCCCTAAGGGCTCTCACAAGGACACCAGCACTGCCAGGTGCCCTCGCAGGGAGAGCAGCACCCGCATAGGCCCTTCCAGGGGTGGTGGAGCAGGCAAGGGCGCTCCCAGGGACAGCAGCACTGCCAGGGGCTCTCCCAGGGTCAGCAGCGCCCTAGGGGCCCTCCCAGGGACTGGGGCACCAGCAGAGACCCTGCTAGGGGCGGTGGCGCCCTCAGAGTCCTTGTCAAGGGTGCTGTCACCCTCAGAGGATATGCAAGGGGCGCTGGCGCCTCCACGGGCTCTCACAAGGACAGGGGTGCTCCCAGGTGCCCTCAGTGGGACAGCGACGCCCCCAGGGGTCATGCAAGGGACAGATGAGCTCCCCGGGGCGGCACTGACATCAGGGACCGTACCAAAGGTCCCCCAGGGGTCCGATAGCAAGCTTGTCCATCGTGTCATATATATTACATACTTCCAGCAGTCCCTTACTTAACTGTGATTGGTGGACTATTCTCTTAACCCGCCAAATTACAGCCAATAGGAGCAGAGAACAGTCAGTCAGCACAACACCCCAACTTATGTTTTCCTGTTGGATATTATTCTCCATTACCTTCTTCAGAACGCGATGATACTTGAAATGTGATGGACGGCTGTGTATTTGTTTAACGTTGCTTCTCCCAGAGCTCTAAATAGCGCAAAAATTACTGCAACCAGGGGCCGTCCTTGTGATGGGAGCGCCCCCAGGGACCGTGCCAGGGGCAGTGGAGCTACCAGCAGCCCTACCAGGGGCGGCGCTCTCCCCAGGGACCGTACCAAGTGTCCCCAGCGGTCCTATGGCATGCTTGTCCGTCGAGTCATAAATATTCCATACGTCCAGCACTCCCTTACTTAACTGTGATTGGTGGACTGTTCTTTTAACCCGCCAAATTACAGCCAATAGAAGCAGAGAACAGTCAGTCAGCACAACACCCCATCTTATGTTTTCCTGTTGGATATTATTCTCCATTACCTTCTTCAGAACGCATTGATACTGGAAATGTGATGGGTGGCTGTGTATTTACTTAACGTTGCTTCTCCCAGAGCTCTAAATAGCGCAAAAATTACAGCAACCATGGGCCCTCCCAGAGACCGAAGCACTCCCAGGGGCCGTCCCAGGGACGGTGGCACCCCTAAGGGCTCTCACAAGGACACCAGCACTGCCAGGTGCCCTCCCAGGGAGAGCAGCACCCGCATAGGCCCTTCCAGGGGTGGTGGAGCAGGCAAGGGCGCTCCCAGGGACAGCAGCACTGCCAGGGGCTCTCCCAGGGTCAGCAGCGCCCTAGGGGCCCTCCCAGGGACTGGGGCACCACCAGAGACCCTGCTAGGGGCGGTGGCGCCCTCAGAGTCCTTGTCAAGGGTGCTGTCACCCTCACAGGATATGCAAGGGGCGCTGGCGCCTCCACGGGCTCTAACCAGGACAGGGACGCTCCCAGGGGCCCTCACAGGAACAGTGACACCCACAGGGGTCATGCAAGGGACAGATGAGGCTTTGGGCAGCACTGACATCAGGGACCGTACCAAAGGTCCCCCAGGGGTCCTATAACAAGCTTGTCCAGCGTGTCATATATGTGCATACTTCCAGCAGTCCACCTTAACTTTGTGATTGGTGGACTATTCTCTTAACCGCCAAATTACAGCCAATAGGAGCAGAACATTCAGTCAGCACAACACCCCAACTTATGTGTTTTTCCTGTTGGAGTGTTATTCTCCATTACCTTCTTCAGAGCAGCGATGATGCTTGAAATGTGATGGGCTGTGTGTTGTTTAACGTTTATGCTCCCAGAGCTCTAAATAAGCGCCAAAAATTACTGCGGCAGGGGCCGTCTGTAGGAGCGCCCCCCCAGGGGACTAAATGCCAGGGGGCAGTGGAATACCAGCAGCCCCCTACAGGCGGCACTCTCCCAGGGACCGTACCAAAGGTCCCCCAGGGGTCCTATAGCAAGCTTGTCCATCGTGTCATATATATTACATACTTCCAGCAGTCCCTTACTTAACTGTGATTGGTGGATTATTCTCTTAACCCGCCAAATTACAGCCAATAGAAGCAGAGAACATTCAGTCAGCACAACACCCCATCTTATGTTTTCCTGTTGGATATTATTCTCCATTACCTTCTTTAGAACGCAATGATACTGGAAATGTGATGGGCGGCTGTGTATTTACTTAACGTTGCTTCTCCCAGAGCTCTAAATAGCGCCCAAACTACAGCAACCATGGGCCCTCCCAGAGACCGAAGCACTCCCAGGGGCCGTCCCAGGGACGGTAGCACCCCTAAGGGCTCTCACAAGGACACCAGCACTGCCAGGTGCCCTCCCAGGGAGAGCAGCACCCGCATAGGCCCTTCCAGGGGTGGTGGAGCAGGCAAGGGCGCTCCCAGGGACAGCAGCACTACCAGGGGCTCTCCCAGGGTCAGCAGCACCCTAGGGGCCCTCCCAGGGACTGGGGCACCATCAGAGACCCTGCTAGGGGCGGTGGCGCCCTCAGAGTCCTTGTCAAGGGTGCTGTCACCCTCAAAGGATATGCAAGGGGCGCTGGCGCCCCCACAGGCTCTCACAAGGACAGGGGTGCTCCCAGGTGCCCACAGTGGGACAGCGACGCCCCCAGGGGTCATGCAAGGGACAGATGAGCTCCCCGGGGCGGCACTGACATCAGGCACCGTACCAAAGGTCCCCCAGGGGTCCTATAGCAAGCTTGTCCATCGTGTCATATATATTACATACTTCCAGCAGTCCCTTACTTAACTGTGATTGGTGGACTATTCTCTTAACCCGCCAAATTACAGCCAATAGGAGCAGAGAACAGTCAGTCAGCACAACACCCCAACTTATGTTTTCCTGTTGGATACTATTCTCCATTACCTTCTTCAGAACGCGATGATACTTGAAATGTGATGGACGGCTGTGTATTTGTTTAACGTTGCTTCTGCCAGAGCTCTAAATAGTGCAAAAATTACTGCAACCAGGGGCCGTCCTTGTGATGGGAGCGCCCCCAGGAACCGTGCCAGGGGCAGTGGAGCTACCAGCAGCCCTACCAGGGGCGGCGCTCTCTCCAGGGACCGTCCCAAGTGTCCCCAGAGGTCCTATGGCATGCTTGTCCGTCGAGTCATAAATATTCCATACGTCCAGCACTCCCTTACTTAACTGTGATTGGTGGACTGTTCTTTTAACCCGCCAAATTACAGCCAATAGAAGCAGAGAACAGTCAGTCAGCACAACACCCCATCTTATGTTTTCCTGTTGGATATTATTCTCCATTACCTTCTTCAGAATGCATTGATACTGGAAATGTGATGGGTGGCTGTGTATTTACTTAACGTTGCTTCTCCCAGAGCTCTAAATAGCGCCAAAACTACAGCAACCATGGGCCCTTCCACAGACGGAAGCACTCCCAGGGGCCGTCCCAGGGACGGTGGCACCCCTAGGGGCTCTCAAAAAAACAACAGTACTACCAGGTCCCTCCCAGGGACGGCGGCACCCGCATGAGCCATTCCAGGGACAGTGGAGCAAGCTAGGGCACTCCAAGGGACAGACGCATTGCCAGGGGCTCTACCAGCGAAAACGGCGCCTTACGGGCCCTCCCAGGGACGGTTGCACAATCAGAGACCCTACTAGGGGCGGTGGCGCCCCTAAGGGCCTTGCCAGAAACGGAGGCGCCCTCAGAGGCCTTGTCCTGGGCGCTGGCGCACTCTGAGGACTTGCAAGGGGCGCTGGCGCCCCCACAGGCTCTCACAAGGACAGGGGTGCTCCCAGGTGCCCTCAGTGGGACAGCGACGCCCCCAGGGGTCATGCAAGGGACAGATGAGCTCCCCGGGGGCGGCACTGACATCAGGGACCGTACCAAAGGTCCCCCAGGGGTCCTATAGCAAGCTTGTCCATCGTGTCATATATATTACATACTTCCAGCAGTCCCTTACTTAACTGTGATTGGTGGACTATTCTCTTAACCCGCCAAATTACAGCCAATAGGAGCAGAGAACAGTCAGTCAGCACAACACCCCAACTTATGTTTTCCTGTTGGATATTATTCTCCATTACCTTTTTCAGAACGCCATGATACTTGAAATGTGTTGGACGGCTGTGTATTTGTTTAGCGTTGCTTCTCCCAGAGCTCTAAATAGCGCAAAAATTACTGCAACCAGGGGCCGTCCTTGTGATGGGAGCGCCCCCAGGGACCGTGCCAGGGGCAGTGGAGCTACCAGCAGCCCTACCAGGGGCGGCGCTCTCCCCAGGGACCGTACCAAGTGTCCCCAGCGGTCCTATGGCATGCTTGTCCGTCGAGTCATAAATATTCCATACGTCCAGCACTCCCTTACTTAACTGTGATTGGTGGACTGTTCTTTTAACCCGCCAAATTACAGCCAATAGAAGCAGAGAACAGTCAGTCAGCACAACACCCCATCTTATGTTTTCCTGTTGGATATTATTCTCCATTACCTTCTTCAGAACGCATTGATACTGGAAATGTGATGGGCGGCTGTGTATTTACTTAACGTTGCTTCTCCCTGAGCTCTAAATAGCGCCAAAACTACAGCAACCATGGGCCCTCCCAGAGACCGAAGCACTCCCAGGGGCCGTCCCAGGGACGGTGGCACCCCTAAGGGCTCTCAGAAGGACACCAGCACTGCCAGGTGCCCTCCCAGGGAGAGCAGCACCCGCATGGGCCCTTCCAGGTGTGGTGGAGCAGGCAAGGGCGCTCCCAGGGACAGCAGCACTGCCAGGGGCTCTCCCAGGGTCAGCAGCGCCCTAGGGGCCCTCCCAGGGACTGGGGCACCAGCAGAGACCCTGCTAGGGGCGGTGGCGCCCTCAGAGTCCTTGTCAAGGGTGCTGTCACCCTCAGAGGATATGCAAGGGGCGCTGGCGCCCCCACAGGCTCTCACAAGGACAGGGGTGCTCCCAGGTGCCCTCAGTGGGACAGCGACGCCCCCAGGGGTCATGCAAGGGACAGATGAGCTCCCCGGGGCGGCACTGACATCAGGGACCGTACCAAAGGTCCCCCAGGGGTCCTATAGCAAGCTTGTCCATCGTGTCATATATATTACATACTTCCAGCAGTTCCTTACTTAACTGTGATTGGTGGACTATTCTCTTAACCCGCCAAATTACAGCCAATAGGAGCAGAGAACAGTCAGTCAGCACAACACCCCAACTTATGTTTTCCTGTTGGATATTATTCTCCATTACCTTCTTCAGAACGCGATGATACTTGAAATGTGATGGACGGCTGTGTATTTGTTTAACGTTGCTTCTCCCAGAGCTCTAAATAGCGCAAAAATTACTGCAACCAGGGGCCGTCCTTGTGATGGGAGCGCCCCCAGGGACCGTGCCAGGGGCAGTGGAGCTACCAGCAGCCCTACCAGGGGCGGCGCTCTCCCCAGGGACCGTACCAAGTGTCCCCAGCGGTCCTATGGCATGCTTGTCCGTCGAGTCATAAATATTCCATACGTCCAGCACTCCCTTACTTAACTGTGATTGGTGGACTGTTCTTTTAACCCGCCAAATTACAGCCAATAGAAGCAGAGAACAGTCAGTCAGCACAACACCCCATCTTATGTTTTCCTGTTGGATATTATTCTCCATTACCTTCTTCAGAACGCAATGATACTGGAAATGTGATGGGCGGCTGTGTATTTACTTAACGTTGCTTCTCCCAGAGCTCTAAATAGCGCCAAAACTACAGCAACCATGGGCCCTCCCAGAGACCGAAGCACTCCCAGGGGCCGTCCCAGGGACGGTGGCACCCCTAAGGGCTCTCACAAGGACACCAGCACTGCCAGGTGCCCTCCCAGGGAGAGCAGCACCCGCATAGGCCCTTCCAGGGGTGGTGGAGCAGGCAAGGGCGCTCCCAGGGACAGCAGCACTGCCAGGGGCTCTCCCAGGGTCAGCAGCGCCCTAGGGGCCCTCCCAGGGACTGGGGCACCAGCAGAGACCCTGCTAGGGGCGGTGGCGCCCTCAGAGTCCTTGTCAAGGGTGCTGTCACCCTCAGAGGATATGCAAGGGGCGCTGGCGCCTCCACGGGCTCTCACAAGGACAGGGGTGCTCCCAGGTGCCCTCAGTGGGACAGCGACGCCCCCAGGGGTCATGCAAGGGACAGATGAGCTCCCCGGGGCGGCACTGACATCAGGGACCGTACCAAAGGTCCCCCAGGGGTCCTATAGCAAGCTTGTCCATCGTGTCATATATATTACATACTTCCAGCAGTCCCTTACTTAACTGTAATTGGTGGACTATTCTCTTAACCCGCCAAATTACAGCCAATAGGAGCAGAGAACAGTCAGTCAGCACAACACCCCAACTTATGTTTTCCTGTTGGATATTATTCTCCATTACCTTCTTCAGAACGCGATGATACTTGAAATGTGATGGACGGCTGTGTATTTGTTTAACGTTGCTTCTCCCAGAGCTCTAAATAGCGCAAAAATTACTGCAACCAGGGGCCGTCCTTGTGATGGGAGTGCCCCCAGGGACCGTGCCAGGGGCAGTGGAGCTACCAGCAGCCCTACCAGGGGCGGCGCTCTCTCCAGGGACCGTCCCAAGTGTCCCCAGAGGTCCTATGGCATGCTTGTCCGTCGAGTCATAAATATTCCATACGTCCAGCTCTCCCTTACTTAACTGTGATTGGTGGACTGTTCTTTTAACCCTCCAAATTACAGCCAATAGAAGCAGAGAACAGTCAGTCAGCACAACACCCCATCTTATGTTTTCCTGTTGGATATTATTCTCCATTACCTTCTTCAGAACGCATTGATACTGGAAATGTGATGGGTGGCTGTGTATTTACTTAACGTTGCTTCTCCCAGAGCTCCAAATAGCGCCAAAACTACAGCAACCATGGGCCCTTCCACAGACGGAAGCACTCCCAGGGGCCGTCCCAGGGACGGTGGCACCCCTAGGGGCTCTCAAAAAAACAACAGCACTACCAGGTCCCTCCCAGGGACGGCGGCACCCGCATGAGCCATTCCAGGGACAGTGGAGCAAGCTAGGGCACTCCAAGGGACAGACGCGCTGCCAGGGGCTCTACCAGCGAAAACGGCGCCTTACGGGCCCTCCCAGGGACGGTTGCACCATCAGAGACCCTACTAGGGGCGGTGGCGCCCCTAGGGGCCTTGCCAGAAACGGAGGCGCCCTCAGAGGCCTTGTCCTGGGCGCTGGCGCACTCTGAGGACTTGCAAGGGGCGCTGGCGCCCCCACAGGCTCTCACAAGGACAGGGGTGCTCCCAGGTGCCCTCAGTGGGACAGCGACGCCCCCAGGGGTCATGCAAGGGACAGATGAGCTCCCCGGGGCGGCACTGACATCAGGGACCGTACCAAAGGTCCCCCAGGGGTCCTATAGCAAGCTTGTCCATCGTGTCATATATATTACATACTTCCAGCAGTCCCTTACTTAACTGTGATTGGTGGACTATTCTCTTAACCCGCCAAATTACAGCCAATAGGAGCAGAGAACAGTCAGTCAGCACAACACCCCAACTTATGTTTTCCTGTTGGATATTATTCTCCATTACCTTCTTTCAGAACGCAATGATACTAAAATGTGATGGGTGGCTGTGTATTTTTTAACGTTGCTTCTCCCAGAGCTCTAAATAGAAATGTGACTGGACAACCTGGGCCGTCCTTTGATAAGCGCCCCCAGGAACCGTCCCAGGGGCAGTGGAGCTAGTCCTGCAGCCCTACCAGGGGCAGGGGCCGCTCTGGGACAGCGCGCCCCCAGGGGTCCCAGCAGGACCGTACCAAGTGTCCCCAGGGGTCCTATGGCATGCTTGTCCGTCGAGTCATAAATATTCCATACGTCCAGCACTCCCTTACTTAACTGTGATTGGTGGACTGTTCTTTTAACCCGCCAAATTACAGCCAATAGAAGCAGAGAACAGTCAGTCAGCACAACACCCCATCTTATGTTTTCCTGTTGGATATTATTCTCCATTACCTTCTTCAGAACGCAATGATACTGGAAATGTGATGGGCGGCTGTGTATTTACTTAACGTTGCTTCTCCCAGAGCTCTAAATAGCGCCCAAACTACAGCAACCATGGGCCCTCCCAGAGACCGAAGCACTCCCAGGGGCCGTCCCAGGGACGGTGGCACCCCTAAGGGCTCTCACAAGGACACCAGCACTGCCAGGTGCCCTCCCAGGGAGAGCAGCACCCGCATAGGCCCTTCCAGGGGTGGTGGAGCAGGCAAGGGCGCTCCCAGGGACAGCAGCACTGCCAGGGGCTCTCCCAGGGTCAGCAGCACCCTAGGGGCCCTCCCAGGGACTGGGGCACCATCAGAGACCCTGCTAGGGGCGGTGGCGCCCTCAGAGTCCTTGTCAAGGGTGCTGTCACCCTCAGAGGATATGCAAGGGGCGCTGGCGCCCCCACAGGCTCTCACAAGGACAGGGGTGCTCCCAGGTGCCCTCAGTGGGACAGCGACGCCCCCAGGGGTCATGCAAGGGACAGATGAGCTCCCCGGGGCGGCACTGACATCAGGGACCGTACCAAAGGTCCCCCAGGGGTCCTATAGCAAGCTTGTCCATCGTGTCATATATATTACATACTTCCAGCAGTCCCTTACTTAACTGTGATTGGTGGACTATTCTCTTAACCCGCCAAATTACAGCCAATAGGAGCAGAGAACAGTCAGTCAGCACAACACCCCAACTTATGTTTTCCTGTTGGATATTATTCTCCATTACCTTCTTCAGAACGCGATGATACTTGAAATGTGATGGACGGCTGTGTATTTGTTTAACGTTGCTTCTCCCAGAGCTCTAAATAGTGCAAAAATTACTGCAACCAGGGGCCGTCCTTGTGATGGGAGCGCCCCCAGGGACCGTGCCAGGGGCAGTGGAGCTACCAGCAGCCCTACCAGGGGCGGCGCTCTCCCAGGGACCGTACCAAGTGTCCCCAGAGGTCCTATGGCATGCTTGTCCGTCGAGTCATAAATATTCCATACGTCCAGCACTCCCTTACTTAACTGTGATTGGTGGACTGTTCTTTTAACCCGCCAAATTACAGCCAATAGAAGCAGAGAACAGTCAGTCAGCACAACACCCCATCTTATGTTTTCCTGTTGGATATTATTCTCCATTACCTTCTTCAGAACGCATTGATACTGGAAATGTGATGGGTGGCTGTGTATTTACTTAACGTTGCTTCTCCCAGAGCTCCAAATAGCGCCAAAACTACAGCAACCATGGGCCCTTCCACAGACGGAAGCACTCCCAGGGGCCGTCCCAGGGACGGTGGCACCCCTAGGGGCTCTCAAAAAAACGACAGCACTGCCAGGTCCCTCCCAGGGACGGCGGCACCCGCATGAGCCATTCCAGGGACAGTGGAGCAAGCTAGGGCACTCCAAGGGACAGACGCGCTGCCAGGGGCTCTACCAGCGAAAACGGCGCCTTACGGGCCCTCCCAGGGACGGTTGCACCATCAGAGACCCTACTAGGGGCGGTGGCGCCCCTAGGGGCCTTGCCAGAAACGGAGGCGCCCTCAGAGGCCTTGTCCTGGGCGCTGGCGCACTCTGAGGACTTGCAAGGGGCGCTGGCGCCCCCACAGGCTCTCACAAGGACAGGGGTGCTCCCAGGTGCCCTCAGTGGGACAGCGACGCCCCCAGGGTCATGCAAGGGACAGATGAGCTCCCCGGGGCGGCACTGACATCAGGGACCGTACCAAAGGTTCCCCAGGGGTCCTATAGCAAGCTTGTCCATCGTGTCATATATATTACATACTTCCAGCAGTCCCTTACTTAACTGTGATTGGTGGACTATTCTCTTAACCCGCCAAATTACAGCCAATAGGAGCAGAGAACAGTCAGTCAGCATAACACCCCAACTTATGTTTTCCTGTTGGATATTATTCTCCATTACCTTCTTCACAATGCAATGATACTGGAAATGTGATGGGCGGCTGTGTATTTATTTAACGTTGCTTCTCCCAGAGCTCTAAATAGCGTAAAAACTTCTGTAACCAGGGCCCTCCCATGGACAGGAGTCCTTCCAGGGGCCCTCTCAGGGACGGGGGCGCTCCAGAGGCCATGCCATGGGCGGTGGCGATCTCAGAGTCCTTGCCAGGGGTGCTGGCAATCGAAGGGGGTCTCGCCGGGACAGCAGCGCAGCCAGAGCCATCCAAGGGACGGCAGCGACCTCTGGGGCCCTCCTAGAAACGGCAGCGTTCCAAGGGGTCCTTGCCATGGGCAGTGGGGCTCCCAGGGGCTCTCCCAGCGACAGTGAGGCACATATGAGCCCTCCGAGTGACAGTGGCGCTCCCAGGGGCATTGTCAGGGACAGTGTTCCTCCCAGGGATCCTCCCAGTAGCGGCGCTGACCCCAGCGGCCATACCAAGGGTCCCCAGGGGCCCTAAGGCATGCTTGTCCGTCGTGTCATATATATTTCATAATTCCAGCAGTCCCTTACTTAACTATCATTGGTGGACTATTCTCCTAACCCGCCAGATTACAGCCAATAGGAGCAGAGAACAGTCAGTCAGCACAACACCCCAACTTATGTTTTCCTGTTGGATATTATTCTCCATTACCTTCTTCAGAACGCGATGATACTTGAAATGTGATGGGCGGCTGTGTATTTGTTTAACGTTGCTTCTCCCCCAGGGGCTCTAACCAGCGAAAACGGCGCCTTACCAGGGGCCCTCCCAGGGACGGGTTGCACCTCAGAGACCCTGCCATGGGCGGTGGCGATCTCAGAGTCCTTGCCAGGGGTGCTGGCAATCGAAGGGGGTCTCGCCGGGACAGCAGCGCAGCCAGAGCCATCCAAGGGACGGCAGCGACCTCTGGGGCCCTCCTAGAAACAGCGTTCCAAGGGGTCCTTGCCATGGGCAGTGGGGCTCCCAGGGGCTCTCCCAGCGACAGTGAGGCACATATGAGCCCTCCGAGTGACAGTGGCGCTCCCAGGGGCATTGTCAGGGACAGTGTTCCTCCCAGGGATCCTCCCAGTGGCGGCGCTGACCCCAGCGGCCATACCAAGGGTCCCCAGGGGCCCTAAGGCATGCTTGTCCATCGTGTCATATATATTTCATAATTCCAGCAGTCCCTTACTTAACTGTGATTGGTGGACTATTCTCCTAACCCGCCAGATTACAGCCAATAGGAGCAGAGAACAGTCAGTCAGCACAACACCCCAACTTATGTTTTCCTGTTGGATATTATTCTCCATTACCTTCTTCAGAACGCGATGATACTTGAAATGTGATGGACGGCTGTGTATTTGTTTAACGTTGCTTCTCCCAGAGCTCTAAATAGCGCAAAAATTACTGCAACCAGGGGCCGTCCTTGTGATGGGAGCGCCCCCAGGGACCGTGCCAGGGGCAGTGGAGCTACCAGCAGCCCTACCAGGGGCGGCGCTCTCCCCAGGGACCGTACCAAGTGTCCCCAGAGGTCCTATGGCATGCTTGTCCGTCGAGTCATAAATATTCCATACGTCCAGCACTCCCTTACTTAACTGTGATTGGTGGACTGCTCTTTTAACCCGCCAAATTACAGCCAATAGAAGCAGAGAACAGTCAGTCAGCACAACACCCCATCTTATGTTTTCCTGTTGGATATTATTCTCCATTACCTTCTTCAGAACGCATTGATACTGGAAATGTGATGGGTGGCTGTGTATTTACTTAACGTTGCTTCTCCCAGAGCTCCAAATAGCGCCAAAACTACAGCAACCATGGGCCCTTCCACAGACGGAAGCACTCCCAGGGGCCGTCCCAGGGACGGTGGCACCCCTAGGGGCTCTCAAAAAAACAACAGCACTACCAGGTCCCTCCCAGGGACGGCGGCACCCGCATGAGCCATTCCAGGGACAGTGGAGCAAGCTAGGGCACTCCAAGGGACAGACGCACTGCCAGGGGCTCTACCAGCGAAAACGGCGCCTTACGGGCCCTCCCAGGGACGGTTGCACCATCAGAGACCCTACTAGGGGCGGTGGCGCCCCTAAGGGCCTTGCCAGAAACGGAGGCGCCCTCAGAGGCCTTGTCCTGGGCGCTGGCGCACTCTGAGGACTTGCAAGGGGCGCTGGCGCCCCCACAGGCTCTCACAAGGACAGGGGTGCTCCCAGGTGCCCTCAGTGGGACAGCGACGCCCCCAGGGGTCATGCAAGGGACAGATGGAGCTCCCCGGGGCGGCACTGACATCAGGGACCGTACCAAAGGTCCCCCAGGGGTCCTATAGCAAGCTTGTCCATCGTGTCATGCCATATATTACATACTTCCAGCAGTCCCTTACTTAACTGTGATTGGTGGACTATTCTCTTAACCCGCCAAATTACAGCCAATAGGAGCAGAGAACAGTCAGTCAGCACAACACCCCAACTTATGTTTTCCTGTTGGATATTATTCTCCATTACCTTCTTCAGAACGCGATGATACTTGAAATGTGATGGACGGCTGTGTATTTGTTTAACGTTGCTTCTCCCAGAGCTCTAAATAGCGCAAAAATTACTGCAACCAGGGGCCGTCCTTGTGATGGGAGCGCCCCCAGGGACCGTGCCAGGGGCAGTGGAGCTACCAGCAGCCCTACCAGGGGCGGCGCTCTCTCCAGGGACCGTACCAAGTGTCCCCAGAGGTCCTATGGCATGCTTGTCCGTCGAGTCATAAATATTCCATACGTCCAGCACTCCCTTACTTAACTGTGATTGGTGGACTGTTCTTTTAACCCGCCAAATTACAGCCAATAGAAGCAGAGAACAGTCAGTCAGCACAACACCCCATCTTATGTTTTCCTGTTGGATATTATTCTCCATTACCTTCTTCAGAACGCATTGATACTGGAAATGTGATGGGTGGCTGTGTATTTACTTAACGTTGCTTCTCCCAGAGCTCCAAATAGCGCCAAAACTACAGCAACCATGGGCCCTTCCACAGACGGAAGCACTCCCAGGGGCCGTCCCAGGGACGGTGGCACCCCTAGGGGCTCTCAAAAAAACAACAGCACTACCAGGTCCCTCCCAGGGACGGCGGCACCCGCATGAGCCATTCCAGGGACAGTGGAGCAAGCTAGGGCACTCCAAGGGACAGACGCGCTGCCAGGGGCTCTACCAGCGAAAACAGCGCCTTACGGGCCCTCCCAGGGACGGTTGCACCATCAGAGACCCTACTAGGGGCGGTGGCGCCCTCAGAGTCCTTGTCAAGGGTGCTGTCACCCTCAGAGGACTTGCAAGGGGCGCTGGCGCCTCCACGGGCTCTCACAAGGACAGGGGTGCTCCCAGGTGCCCTCAGTGGGACAGCGACGCCCCCAGGGGTCATGCAAGGGACAGATGAGCTCCCCGGGGCGGCACTGACATCAGGGACCGTACCAAAGGTCCCCCAGGGGTCCTATAGCAAGCTTGTCCATCGTGTCATATATATTACATACTTCCAGCAGTCCCTTACTTAACTGTGATTGGTGGACTATTCTCTTAACCCGCCAAATTACAGCCAATAGGAGCAGAGAACAGTCAGTCAGCACAACACCCCAACTTATGTTTTCCTGTTGGATATTATTCTCCATTACCTTCTTCAGAACGCGATGATACTTGAAATGTGATGGACGGCTGTGTATTTGTTTAACGTTGCTTCTCCCAGAGCTCTAAATAGCGCAAAAATTACTGCAACCAGGGGCCGTCCTTGTGATGGGAGCGCCCCCAGGGACCGTGCCAGGGGCAGTGGAGCTACCAGCAGCCCTACCAGGGGCGGCGCTCTCTCCAGGGACCGTCCCAAGTGTCCCCAGAGGTCCTATGGCATGCTTGTCCGTCGAGTCATAAATATTCCATACGTCCAGCACTCCCTTACTTAACTGTGATTGGTGGACTGTTCTTTTAACCCGCCAAATTACAGCCAATAGAAGCAGAGAACAGTCAGTCAGCACAACACCCCATCTTATGTTTTCCTGTTGGATATTATTCTCCATTACCTTCTTCAGAACGCAATGATACTGGAAATGTGATGGGCGGCTGTGTATTTACTTAACGTTGCTTCTCCCAGAGCTCTAAATAGCGCCAAAACTACAGCAACCATGGGCCCTCCCAGAGACCGAAGCACTCCCAGGGGCCGTCCCAGGGACGGTGGCACCCCTAAGGGCTCTCACAAGGACACCAGCACTGCCAGGTGCCCTCCCAGGGAGAGCAGCACCCGCATAGGCCCTTCCAGGGGTGGTGGAGCAGGCAAGGGCGCTCCCAGGGACAGCAGCACTGCCAGGGGCTCTCCCAGGGTCAGCAGCGCCCTAGGGGCCCTCCCAGGGACTGGGGCACCAGCAGAGACCCTGCTAGGGGCGGTGGCGCCCTCAGAGTCCTTGTCAAGGGTGCTGTCACCCTCAGAGGATATGCAAGGGGCGCTGGCGCCCCCACGGGCTCTCACAAGGACAGGGGTGCTCCCAGGTGCCCTCAGTGGGACAGCGACGCCCCCAGGGGTCATGCAAGGGACAGATGAGCTCCCCGGGGCGGCACTGACATCAGGGACCGTACCAAAGGTCCCCAGGGGTCCTATAGCAAGCTTGTCCATCGTGTCATATATATTACATACTTCCAGCAGTCCCTTACTTAACATTGGTGGGAGCCCAGTCAGCACAACACCAACTTATGTTTTCCTGTTGGGTACCTTCTTCCAGGGTTGCTTCTCCTAAATAGATTACTGCAAAGGGGCCGTCCTTGTGATCCACCGTCGTGGTACCAGCAGCCTACCAGGGGCGGCGCTCTCTCCAGGGACCGTCCCAAGTGTCCCCAGAGGTCCTATGGCATGCTTGTCCGTCGAGTCATAAATATTCCACGTCCAGCACTCCCTTACTTAACTGTGATTGGTGGACTATTCTCTTAACCCGCCAAATTACAGCCAATAGGAGCAGAGAACAGTCAGTCAGCACAACACCCCAACTTATGTTTTCCTGTTGGATATTATTCTCCATTACCTTCTTCAGAACGCATGATACTGGAAATGTGATGGGCGGCTGTGTATTTATTTAACGTTGCTTCTCCCAGAGCTCTAAATAGCGCCAAAACTAAAGCAACCATGGGCCCTTCCATAGACGGAAGCACTCCCAGGGGCCGTCCCAGGGACGGTGGCACCCCTAGGGGCTCTCAAAAAAACAACAGCACTCCCAGGTCCCTCCCAGGGACGGCGGCACCCGCATGAGCCATTCCAGGGACAGTGGAGCAAGCTAGGGCACTCCAAGGGACAGACGCACTGCCAGGGGCTCTACCAGCAAGCAACATACGGGCCCTCCCAGGGTTCAGTTGCATCAGAGACCCTACTGGGGCAGTGGCGCCCTAAGGGCCTTGCTAGGAGCCGCCCTCAGGAAGCCTTGTCCTGGGCGCTGGCGCACTCTGAGGACTTGCAAGGGGCGCTGGCGCCCCCACAGTCTCTCACAAGGACAGGGGTGCTCC